AAATAGTGCATTTGTGCAAAAACGCTCATTTTAAGTCAGCTTTTACCAAGTCAGCAAAAATCAGGGATTGAGGCGATTTGAGCATAATTTTCACGATTTTTAGGTTCAACTATCTTCCATAGATTGTGAAAGTTTCAAGTATCTGCTTGCTCTAGATTGAAAGTTTGGAATTTTTAAAGCAAAGGGTGCTTTTCGGCGAAAACGTCCATTTTTATGGCCTTTTTTCCAAGTTGGCAAAAATCAGAGTTTGATACGATTTCAGCGTAATTTTCATGATTTTTACGTTCAACTGTCTTCCATAGACTGTGAAAGTTTCAAGTATCTGCTTGCTCTAGATTGAAAGTTCGGGATTTTTAAAGCAAAGGGTGCTTTTCGTCGAAAACGTCCATTTTTATGGCCTTTTTTCCAAGTTGGCAAAATCGGGGTTTGATGCTATTTCAGCGTAATTTTTAGGATGGTGAGATTCAAGTGTCTTCTATAGGCTGCAAAAGTTTGAAGTCGCTACGTGGTTTAGATTTCAAGTTACGATTTTTTCAAGAAAATAATGCATTTGTGCAAAAACGCTCGTTTTTAAGTCAGCTTTTACCAAGTCAGAAAAAATCAGTGATTGAGGCGATTTGAGCATAATTTTCACGGTTTTTAGGTTCAACTGTCTTCCACTGACTGTGAAAGTTTCAAGTATCTGCTTGCTCTATATTGAAAGTTACGATTTTCTCAGAAAAATAGTGCATTTGTGCAAAAACGCTCATTTCTGGGCCAGCTTTGACATCAAGTTTGAAGTCACGTTTGAAGTCAAAAAAAATCAAACTTGTATGCGATTTAAATGAAACTTCGAGAACTTGTATGTTTTCTATGGATAGTAAAAGCTTGAAGGTTTTACCTGCTTTAGATTGGAAGTTCCGAATTTTTAAATCAGCGAGAGCATTTGGGAGTTTTTGCGAAGCCGGCAAACATCAGTATCTTATGCCATTTGTATCAAGCTTGTAGCTTTTTTGGTTTCAAATGTCTTCTATGGATTGCAAAAGTTTGAAGTTTTGACTGGCTCTGGTTGGAAAGTTACGAATTTTTATAGCAGCACTTGGATAAAAACGTGCATTTAACGGCCATCATTTGGGAATTCGTCAAAAATTAATAACATTTGCGATTTCAATTATTTTCTCACAATTTGTATATTCAACTGTCTTCTATAGATGGGGCAAGCTTTCAAGGTTTTGCGAGCTCTAGATTGGAAGTTATGATTTTTTCAGATTCTGGATCAGAAGGTGCATTTCTGCTCAAACTGTCATTTTAGGCCCGCATTTACCAAGCCGCCAAAATTCAAGATTGGGTGCGATTTGATTGAAATTTTCTGTATTTGCAGATCGAAATCCCTTCTATACGTTGTGACAGCCTCAAGTTTCCACTTCGTCCAGATCAGAAGTTATGAATTTTTAAACCAGAACATGCGGTTGAGATTTGAATCGCCTTTGCAAAGCTTGCAGCAAAAACATCGGGTGTTTCCCCCATATATCGCGTAAAATTTGCATAAACTCGGCAACGTCGCCTTGCAAATTCAGCCCTGTCCTACTCCTCAAACACCTCCTGTAAAGAATCTTCGGTCGCCTTTGACGCGTAACCTGTCCAACGTTTCCAATAATACTAGAGCAGTTTCATTCTGATAGCGAACAGGTTTGAGACCCTTAAGCCGTAAAGTTGGCTCCCCTAGACCGTAATTCACCCCACAGCTCCATCCCTACTCTATGGCCGGGCCGCCCCGACCCTTATTAGAGCCCAGAGCTTTCGCGTAGAGCCGCCGCGTAATGCAGAGCGCCTGCGCCCTTCGCCCGTCAATGAATGACTGCTAGTCCTGCTCTAGCTCCGAATCGAGTAAAGCTCAACCGTGTGGCCCCCCACATATTCAAACGGGACGATTTTTTTTCCGATTTAATTAATTAATCACCCACACCGACATCAATTTGCATTGTTGAGGTCGGTTTTTCGGGTGTGCGCTTCTGGTTCTTCCGCGGCTCAGTGCGCTTTTGTTCGATCATTTCTCGGGCTCTGTGTTGGGAGAATTTCGCGTTTGTGCTGTAATTAATGTAAACATTAATGTTGGTCCACGGGTGTCGGTTACGTGATTGGTGACCGAATTTGATGCTTGACAACAGCAGGAACTGCTGAGGAACAGGGCCAACAGTTCTTTGTCTCTTTGGTCAAGTGGGTGCGACTCTACCTAGGAGAATGACTGGCTGACGCCCCCCTTTTGATTGGAAGGTACGTTTGGGCATGTCCATGGTGGACTTTGCCACTGTGGGTCTGATGATGGTCACTTGCTGGCCCATTTTCCCTAGTTTCTCACGCCAACTGCTGGCAATAAGGACATGTTGACAGATGTTTACATTGTTGTCTCTTTTCAACGGTGGCACCTCTAGAGGTGTCAAAGTGACAGCCTGCCACGTGAGCGTGTCAACGTCAATGTTGCGTTCTGACGTTTTCCAAAATTCCCTTAGGCTACAGGGCGAGATTGTCAGTTGACAGTTTTGGCACCGAATGTCGCACTTTGTGCCCGTGCAAGCGCAGCCAAAACGTCAAATATTGACATTTTTGGCATTTCCCGTGCCGCCATTGTGCGCCCTTCGAGTCAATTCAAACATTCTTCTGAATCGGAATGTGGCCTTTCTATGCTGAATTAAGCATTTTCTCGATTCGGATTCGAAGGCACATCGGCGTTTTCCATACACTCGCTTGAACATGACGAATGGATCCCGGAAGGGCGATTTATTGTTCCCGTTTTTATATCGAGTAATGCCAGGCCACATTTTTCAGTGAATGTGCTGCCCATAAAATGGAAAATGCCGCGCCGTCGACTGGGTCTTAAACATGCACCGTTAAAAGGGGCCTCAGATTAATCGATGAGCTGATAAATGGATGGGGCTTGGGATGCAAATCACTTTTTTATGCAGGGTAGTCGCACAGGTTTTATGCCAGCAGCAAGCGCGTTCTAACGTTTCGCCAGCACGCATTGTTATCATCATCAGAGATATGTTCGCTGGAGGAACCACACGTGTGGCTTAATAATTTCCTTTCGAACCGTTTTGGAAGGTTCAATTTGCATTGAACCTGTATAGCACTAAGTTTGGCAGTTTCTCCTACGTGAGTAACGGACGTTTTAATTGCGCCTCGTTAATGACGTAATGACGTTGCCAATCTAACGGAATAGTGAGATTTTGAAGTTGTGACTTGCATTCGATTAGCAATTAGCGCTTATTCAGGGCGGAAAAAATCAATTTTCCATGGATTGGGAGATTTTCAAGTCGCTTTTGACCCACATGGGCAGCAGCGATTTTTTGAAGCAGAAGATGCACTTGGGTGGAAACTTTCATTTTTATGCCAACATTTACCAAGTCGACAAAAATCAGGATGGGGCGTAATTTGAGTGAAATTTTCAACATCCGCAGGATCCGGTGTCTTCTAGCGACTGTGCAAGTTTCAGGTTTCTACTTGTTCTAGATTGAAAGCTATGAATTTTCGAACAGAGGTAAATTTTTTGATCTAGATTTTCAAAGTTGGTAAAAATCAGGGTTTTGTGCAATTTGAGTAAAATTTTTAGGGCTTGGAGATTCAAGTGTCTTCTGTAAAAGTCTCAAGTTTCGACTTGTTTCAAATTCGAAGTTACGAATTTTTATAGCAGCGAATGCAGTTGAGAGGAAACGTTCATTTTTAGCGAAAATTTTAGCAAAATTGTTCACAATTCAAGTGAAATTTTTAGGATCGGTAAGTTAAGCTGTCGTTTAGAGACTGTGAGAGTTTCAAGTTTATACTTGTTCTAAGTTCGAAGTTTTGAATTTTCGTAACAGCGAGTGCACTTTAGTGGAAACGTTCAGCTTTAGTGAACGATTTAGCAAGGAGCCAAAAATCAGGATTTGGCCCAATTTAACTGAAATTTTCAGACTACAGACTGAAGTGTCTTCTAGAGCCTGTGAAACTTTCAAGTTTCTACTTGTTCGAGGTTGGAATTTGCGAATTTTTCACGCAGTGGGTGCGCTTGAGATGAATCGTTCATTTTTAGTCTAAGCTTTACCTGGGGTTTTGCACAATTTAAGCGACTTTTTCAGGATCTCCGAGCTAAGGTGTCCTCTATGGACTGTGAAGGTTTCCAGTTTTTTCTGCTTCTAAATTCGAGGTTACGAATTTTTGAAACCGCGGGTGCACTTGTGCAAAAACACGCTTTTTAAACCAACACTTAGCAGGTGAAAAGACGTATTTTTGGGATTTGAGACTGAAGTGAGTTTTATATAGGCGGGAAAAGTGTCTCTAGGGAAAATTTCTGTGGTCGAAAGTCATCTAAAGCTGTCGAAGCGCGCATCAGGTCAGAATCAGCAAGTGTCCACAAAGTAGTAAAACTCGGTTATTTCATGTAAATTTTGTTGTTTTATTCGTTTCAAAACGACATATTTGACGATTTCGTTGTCGCTATTTCTGGAAATTAAAGCCGCATCGGCAACAATGTCATTCCCGTTCTCATAGACGTGCAGGTGCGACTAAATGAAACACTGGACGAGTTGATGACAGTTGATGTAGCTGACAGGTGTGACTGTCGCCATTTTGATTCAATAATTCCATGTACTCGCACCGAACATTAATCATCAACAGCCGTGAATAATCGCAGTAAAAGCCGTCCATGTATTCCATACAATTATCCATTGTGTTGCATGTTTTTGATGACGTTCAGTCGTCGCTGGCCGACTGAAAAATGACTGGACGTTTAAATTTCAAAGCAAATTAATCAGCCTGATTGATTGTAATCGGAAACAAAGGGTCGCGGTGCGCTGCGAATGCACGTCGGAATGCGTGAAGGTGATTGGATGAATGACAAATTAATTGTCATTGCGCTTGACCTCAATTGGCCGAAATTAGTCGAATTAACTGGGAAAATGTCACATTTATTCAAACGATTTTCAACCAACAAACTTCAAAATCCCACCAATTAATCGGTGTATCTGGCCAGGATTTCCGATTCCCTGAACAGGAAGTAGGTCTGCTCGTCCATCTCCACGCGGGTTCCCCCGTAGTCGGGCAACATAACCTCGTCCCCCACCTTGATCGTCATGGGAACTGGCACCCCCTTCTCCGTTCTGGTACCCGGCCCGACCGCCACCACCGTACCTGAAACACCCCCGCTTTATCGCCGAGTTTCCCTCACACTCCACCCCAGCACCTTTCAAGGACTTGGCCGTTTTGGCCTCGGGCAGCACGATGCCGCCTTTGGACTCCTTCAGGGGCTCCGCCCGCTTTACCAGAATGCGGTTGAAAAGGGGCACCAACTTTTTGATTTTGTGCGCACTTCTTGGCAGGTTGGACGCTTGCGCTGCCATTTTTTCGCCTCGACACAACCGGAAAGTTCAACTTGTCTGACTCGTGACGGTGACAGTGGCGTTAGCCGGCAATGTCAGATGGTTTCCATGGCAATGGGCATTGTTGGCTCGGCGAACTAGATTGCTGCCCTTGCATGGGGGGGTGGGGGTGCGTACTTGTACAGGGTGTTTCAAATGAATTTGAACCAGGAGTGGGAAACATGCCAACAGGGTTTGGTGCGCGGATTAAAATCCGATCGCGGAGCAAATTCGCAATTTCGCTAAAAGCCCCCGATCGATTTCCCCCAGTGTGCTAGCAATTACCTTTAATATTGATGCAGCTCGGGCAGTTAGTCACAATCGCCCTATCTGAACATGAAACTTGCCCATTTGTCGGGCCTCTATGCATACCCCCGTAGCCCAACAAGCTTCACTAGTTTCCCATTTTATATTTGAGATATTGTTGACATTTTCAGTCCACATCGGCTGAACAGCGGGCTGCTAACAACTCCTCCAGCGACTGCTTGGGGTCATTTTTCTTGTCAATGGCTGCTTGGTTCTTCAACTGAAACTCCACGCTGAACATTGAGGATTTTTCCAGTGTGAGGTTGCCCTGGCTGTCTTCGCCCTTTGTCTGCCAGGCATAGCTTCGCTGCGCCACCAGCTGGAATGAGCCGCCCCCTCGACTCCCCAGTGTCCTGGTCCTGATACTACTGGTGGGCTTCTTGAGCTTCAGAGCTTGAGCTCCGGTTTTCGCATTAACCGGAAAGCCCAGTGGGCGTTTTCCCCTGGGTTTCTTGATCGGGAATTTGTCCAGCTGAAAACCTTGAGTGAGCTGCAAGCGATTGAGGGCTCCGGGACTCACGGTGGGTGAGTTGGGCCTGGTCAGGTTGATGAAGCGACTCAGAACCTGGATCTGATCGCGCTGGTCGGCCAGTTTGGCCTTCAGCGCCTCCACTTGCCCCATTTGCTGCAGCAGCAGACTTTTCCATTCTGCCGCATCAAGTGGCGCTGCCTGTTTCGGCTGGGGTTTCTCCACCAGCTGCGCGTAGGCCGCCCTAATGGCCTGCAGATCCTCCACTTGAGCCTTGTAAAGGTCCCGTTGTTGCCGCAGCGCTTGCGCCTGGTTGTCATGGTCGGCTCTAAGCTGCAGGGGCTGGTTGAGCTGGGAGATTGCGCCTGGATCTGCAGTTACCTTGTCCAGCTCGCGTGCGTTTTCCAGCTGCGCCTGGTTGAGCTTCTTCTTGAAAAGGTCTGCTTCTTGGCGGGATTTGTTTGATTCCTGTCGCTCTTTGGCCGTGACGAGCTGGACTTCGTCCCGCACCAGCGCAAAGAATCTGCAACTCAAAAACCCGTTCATACCTGCCGGTTGCAGGCGAGCGAAGCGCCAATACGTGAGTTCCTCGCTGGATTTGATCCCCCAGCTCTCCAGGTCTGTTCGCTTCACGTTGTCGTCGCCCGCCAGTTTGATGAAGAGGAGAACGCGGTTCGGTTCGGGGCTTTTCGCCTTGGAGGGCGCGTTGCGCTGTTTCTCCCTCTGCTGCTTGGTGGCCTCCAGCAGGAGTTTGGCTTCGGAGTTCATCTGGGTCAGCATCCTGCTGACGCTGCTCTCTTAAACCCAGTCAAGCGTTAGGACAATGCAGCAAGCCCTGGTCATCTGCACCTTTGCTGTCCACACCCCCAAAGCTGCAATTCAGCTGGACTTGCAGCTGCTGCAACAGATCCTCGATGGCGTTCAGGTCTTGTGGGCCTCTGGGGTGCAAAAGTTCGCTTTCCAGTCGCGCTTTCTCCATCTGGATATCCAGCAGCGCGTTGCGAGTGGTGCGCTCCCCCGCTGGCAGCGAATAGACTTGGTCCACTGCAATATTCATCTCGTCTCGGATTGGTTCGAGGGTTGACTTAGACTAACCAATGGCGCTTCGCTCCTCTTCCACTAGAATGAGGCGGTCGCAGCATATTCTGAAGGCCTCCAGGCGCCTCCTGAGCCCCACGGTGGCCGTTAGGAGCTGGTCAAAGAGATCCACGTGTAGGGGGCTGCTGATGAAGCCCCCAAACTGGTCGCCATTGCAGATCTCCTGGAACCGCAGGAATTCGCACAGTTTATTGACGATTTTTCTGAGCACAAACTCCTGATCCTTGAGCGCGTTCGACAAGTCGCTGTCCAGGCGCTTCAAGCGCTCGTGCAGCTTTGCCAGGTTGGACTTGATGCCGGCCTGTTTGCAGAACTGATTCATGGCCAGAGTGAGGGGCAGGCTGTACTCGTAGGCGAGGGGGGTGCACTAGAAGCTGTTGTTGAGCAAAGGGAGCAAACAGCCGCTCCAGACACTCACTGATAGCGACAGCTGCTGGATTCGATTGCCATTCAGCTCGCGCTTGATGTAGTAGCTGAGCTGGGTTTTCTGGTTCTGCAGCTGCTTTCGAAGGGCGGCAATCAGCAGGTTTTTGTCGTCCAACACCGACAGCAGGGACGTGCTTTGCTGTTCGGCGTTTTCGGGAAAAACGGCGCCCTACAAGGGCCATTGGGCAAAGGCCTAAGGGGAAGCGGCTGAGCGGTCACTTACAGGGCGCGCTGTTGACGGTGCAGACTCAGCTTCTTTGTCGCTTACAGAGATGGGGAATATGGACGATAACATGGCGATTTTGAGTGGAGAAGCTGCAGGAGTCAATGTCACTTGTTGGCAATGACGGCGTAAGCCGTTCTGTAAAGGAACGGCTTAAAGCGATTAACAATTTTTGCGAGTTTTCAAGTTTCCAACTTTAATGAATTGAACCTGTTTTCCATTCGGGAACTTGGCTGGCATCGGTTTGTCTCACTCGCACCCATGGGCGTCTATGCGGCATGCCCACGCTGCCCTGCTGAGACAAGAAGTCGTATCTGCAATTTTTCACTTTTTCAACTTATGCGGTATACTGGTATAACAGAGTTTGCTTTACCTCTCAGACAACGTCTAGAATTCGTATCATCTTTAGAATACGGGTTTTCAATGATATT